TTGAAATATTTTCAAATCAGACCAAACTACTTCAATTTCTATTTCAAACCATTTTTTTGTGGGGTTTGGTTTGGTTTAAAACCAAGATTTAACAAATAAAAAAAATATAAGTTAAATCATAAATACTAATCTAAAATTTCACGTGAAAACATAGATAATTTCATTAAAAATTAAACTAAAGTTATATAATTCTAATCATTATAATGCATTAACAGGATAGAAATATTTTAATCTCTTAGTCGATACTAATTGGCATAACATGTGCAATATAACACATGTTTAATTCTCTTCATAAAGATAAGAATATAATATATGAATTCATTGATTATATATAAATGATATAAACAATTAATAAAAGAAATTAGAGCCTGTTTGAGCCTCATTTTTGTCAAAAATGTATTTTTGAATAACATTTTAATAAATAATATATGGTTAAAAAATAAACAAAAGTTTTGAATTAATGTGTAATATTGTTTTATTAAAAATTGTGTGGTTGAAAAAAAAAAGATAGAAAAAAATTATTTTTAAAATAATGAAGGCCAAACAATGGCTACATAACAAGATTAGATACCGTGATACTTTCTATAACTTTTTATGAATTATCTAATACTTCTACTTCTACCTCATTCAAATAATGATGAATCATTATAAGCAACTTGTTACTATACAATCAATTTTTAGGCCAAATCATTGTCTCAACCATATTTGCACTCAAGGAACTCCTAAAAGAATCAAGGATTCAACCACTATACAAATTCAAAAATAACTATGAATATTTAAATAACTGATACATCTTGAAAAAATTGATGGACAATCTTGTATTTATTTACATTCAATTTTTATCAAAGTAATATTTCGAAAAGCTCATTAGTCAAATCCTCAAAAAGACCATTTAACTAATCCATCAAATCATTTTAGCAATTAACGGTAAGTTAAAATGTAAATAATTAATTGAATGACAACACCAGGAAATTGTGATGCAAATTAACAAAAAATACTGATCTCTAAATATTTAAGGACCCTTACACAAATTAGAACAAAATAATATAACTACCAATAAAATATAGCAAATGATTACCAAAAAATAAGAAATTTTGGATAAACTAACATGAAAATTTAGTTGAAATTTGAGAAAATTTTATTAGAAGAAACATAAATGTGTGAGTTTGAATTTATAAAATTTAGATTTAATGTCTATTCAATTGTAATGAGCCATCGATAAATATGGTTTAGTAGCAATCGTTCAATACTTCACTTAATTTGAGAGTTTTGCATTCATAGTTGCGATGACTTATGGGTATCCGGGTATAATTTAATTAATTAATTGGATGTTAGATAATTGTCTATTTAAGTATTGAATTTAATTGGATTATATCTAATATCGATGTATTTTTTAACTGGGATGTGTTTTATTTTAATTAGGTTGGATAAAATTTAAATTAACTTTTTTTTTCAAAATTTATTTATTTGTTTGTTTTGTAAACGGTTTGTCGGTGTGAAACAATTAGCAAAAAATGAAATCTCTAAACCAAACGATTTCTAAGCTATTTAATCAGCTAAAAATTCAAAACGTTGACGAATCCATGTGAACCTAAATCAACTATTTCAAATAAGCAATTTCGATTTGATTTTGCAATTTGACGATTTCGTTATTTAGCCTTATAAAAGAGTTGTGAAAAACTTCTCTACAGGCCTGACTATAATAAGTAATAATAGTCATAAAAAAAACCATTGATTAGGGTTACTATATATCTTTAGATTCAAATAATACATTTATAAAAATTGACTAGTTCGTTTTAAGAATAAATAAAAAGCAGATCAATCAAAATTCGATAAAGTCAAATGAAATTTGAAATTTGAATTAGCATACTAGTTTGGACCACATTGTTGTACGATATAGAAACTTTTTTCTTGAATAGACACGTCTTTGTTTTCCTTTTCTTTAGTCCATAATAATTTCTGTAGCTAAAGAAACTTATCATATTATGGTCTTTTCATTTATGTTTTCCAACGTATTGAATGGATGATGATGATGATGATGATGATGGTTTGGAACTTAATATCAATTTTCGAAAATAGTGTTTCTAAAGATATTTCAAAAGTCGTTAATCATTCAATAAATGAGTAGAAAACATTGATTTAAATTTTTAATTTGATTATATATTAAGAACTTGTTTGGGAGTGATTTTTCACCTCAAAAAATTAATTTTTTGACCGTTATTTCACTATTTCAGCCGTAAAGTTTGATTTTTTCTCTTACAGGTGATCTCCACTTTTTTTCTAACGATCACAAAATCAATTCTCAAAATTATTCCCATACAGGGCCTAAAAGTTAATTTTAATGCTTAGAGGGTGTTTGGTAGATATTTTTATGTAAAAATGTATTTTTGAATAGTAAATTGATGGGAAATGTGTGGTTGAAAAATAAGAAATTTTTTTTGATTTACGTGTAATATTATTTTAATAAAGAATGTGTGGTTGAAAAGAAGAGAGAGAAAAATACATTTTCAAAAAAAATGGGTACCAAACATGCTCTTAATGGCATTAACTACAAATCAAATAGTCATGTAAATAAAATTATCAAAAGTATAATTTTTTAACCAACTACTTTTTTATAGCTTCTTCGATAGTGTGATTATAAAAATTGATTTTTTGACCATTAAAGAGAAAAGTGGATTCCACCTGTAAGTGAACAAGTAAAAAATGACGACTGATTTAAAAAAATAGCGATAAAAAATTAATTTTTTGAAGTGAAAAATCAGAACAAAACGGGTGCTTAATATTCGCATCCCAACTTTGTTAACAAAATTATATTTTATTGTTTCTAGAATACCCTTTTCTAGATCACGTCACATCTATAATCCGGCCATTTCCATTTGTGAAGAGTTTTTCTTAATTAAACAAAGTATTGCGTGCGGCATTACGCGGGTCTATTCACACTCAATAGTGGCCCGAAAAGAGGTCATGACAGAATTTTATTAGTCTCTTAACAATGATCACCGACCATGTTAAGCCCTTATTTGGAATGGATTAAATTTTAATTTTAAGTCAAATTTAATGATTAATTTTAATCATATATTTCATAAAATTCACAATATTTTAGCCACACATTTTATCAACTTTTATCGAAATATATTAAAAATCTAATTTTAATTCTTGTCAAATAGGGGTTAAGTGATGTGATTTCAGTAGTTCATTGCTCTAATGCAAAATGAACAAGATAGTCCATTGATAGAGCAGATTGGAAAATTTTGAGTGGTACTCAGAAGAATGAAAATAATTGTTATACATCATCATTTATATAATCTTTAACAGATTGATGAAGTGTCAAAAAGAAAGTGAAAGAATTTTTTCTTTTTCTTCTTCTTCTTTTTTTTTTTTTTTTTCCGTTGATGAGATTTTGATCCAATTAAATCATGCCACATCATATATTAGTAAATTAATCTGTAAGTTGAGATCTACGTATATGTAAAAAGAAAATGAAACTCAATCCCGCTTAGCGTTATTAAACATGAATTAGACATATAAAATTCTAATTTAGAGATTTTGAAAGGGTAACTACATTGACACTAATATATTTTTATTTTTTTTAATGTCACTTTTAATTGCACTAAAAGCCTTCGACATTTGATAATCGTCGCACTTATACCCCCCAACTTTTTACATCTTATTTTTTTCAACCGTCCATTAACTAGCACATCTGGTAACTGACCACGATTATTGTCCAAAAATTTCGTTATGAGAGCATACAAAGACTTATTTAGCTGACCGTATTTTTAATTTGAAAAACATGTAATATTTAGGGGTTTTTTGATAATGTTTTTATAAAAGTTAGTGATTTAAAAAAAATGATGAAATATGTGATTAAAAAGTAGATAATATTGTGAGTACAATGAAATATATTGTTAAAATTGAAGTTTGACAAATTAAAAAGTAAATAAATTTTAGCAAATTTTTTTCACACCAACACTTTTGAAAAATCAAAATCAAGGATCACACTGTTGGGAATTTTACGCCAGTTTCCTTTATTTCTATTTACTCGCAAAAGTTGTTGTTGTTCAAAAGAATATTAACAGACAAGAAAAATAAAGAATATAACGCATAAATTAAATGGACCGTCAAAATTTTTCACTATATGAAAATTGTTACAATCATATAAAATTTTACTCATCTACCCAATTCATAAGTATTACAACGAAAAATAAACTTTAGTTTTATCACACCCACTTTTCTATCTAATGTACGAAAAGTCTCAAAATGTTAGACTCACAATATTTTTCTCTCAAATCAACTTTTTGACCACACCCAAAATAATGAAATACATCCACTATTTATAGGATCAATAAACAAGTAAAAGAGTTTAATTTAAATTCAAACAAGACTCATTTAATTCAACAAGAATTCCTTTATATAAAAGACTCCAAAATCAACTGTAAATTGGAGACCAAGTACTGCAAGGATCTTGCTCTTAACTTTAATTAGAAGTTTTCCATACAATATCTACGTTTTATTATTTGAAGTCTTCATGTGGATGAGTTAACTTTTAGGGTGAGAGAGGCTCAATACCACCAAACACAAAGGTGCTAAAGCATAGTATTTTAATATAAATGGTCATCGGGGAGGGATCACGTGCTAATAAAATGTGACCAAAAAAACGACAAACATAAATGAGACAATATGCAAATATTGAAAATATCTAGTGCAAAAAAATTGAATTGCGGATATAACCACATTTAATCTCGTCCTATTATTAGCACAAAAAGATTTAGAAATGTCAAATTTGAACGAGGCTATAAATTGCATGCCGAAAGAAGAAAATAAGTAGTGTACTTTGACTCTAAAATGAATAGACAAATTTCAAGTCCTAATCAATTGGTACCCATAAATGTCATTACGCGGTCTTATGGACCAGTTGAATGGACGGCGGAGATCGTTCTTGGAACCTTACGGAATACTTCAACAGAACAGTTCCTCCGTTGCCTTTATATAATTCTCCCATGTAAATCTTGTCCAGAGAAATTTTATTCCATCCTAAGAAAAGCAGCACTTCCTCTCTCTATATCTCTCTCTTTCTCTCTCCAAAACTCAACCAGAAATGGAGAACATTGATCATGAACTCAATAATTGGGGACTCCCATCAGAAGATCTTGACAGGTAAAAGTTTTCGGATTTTAGAACTTTTCGGTTCTCGTCCGGTATGTAATGAACTTATAATCATAGAACCGACCGTGCGGTCGTTTCAATTTTGCAGTTATTTTGAGGAAACAATGTTGCCGTACTATGATTTGAGCTCGCCAGATGGAACCTTGTCATCAGTGGCTTCAAAGAATATTGTTTCAGAGAGAAATAGGAGGAAAAGACTCAATGAAAGACTCTATGCACTAAGAGCAGTGGTCCCTAACATTTCAAAGGTGACCCCACTAGGCCATTACTAATAGTATACCCTTTGTATTTTACCCGACTCGATGTAATTTCGATTGAATCGTCATTTTTTGTGTTGATATTTAGATGGATAAAGCGTCGATAATCAAAGACGCGATTGATTATATTCAAGAATTGCAAGAAGAAGAGAAGAGAATTCGAGCCGAAGTTTTGGAGCTCGAATCTGGTAGATCATCTAGTGGTACTACAATTGTCGACTTCGATCAAGAGGCCACAACTTTTTATTCAAGACCAAAGAGATCAAGAATTGATCAATGCTATGATTCTACAGGATCAAGATCATGCCCTATTGAAGTTCTTGAGGTGGGCTCATAGATTGGTCAATTTTGATTAATTGATTATTTTAAGTTGTTAATTACTTATTTTTGTTAATTTGCAGTTGAGGGTATCCAATATGGGAGAAAAGATAGTTGTGGTTAGCCTTACATGCTGGAAAAGAACAGACACAATGGTAAAGCTTTGTGAGATCTTTGAATCTTTGAAGCTCAAAATTATTACTGCCAATATCACTGCTTTTTCTGAAAGGCTTTTGAAGACCGCATTCATCGAGGTTATATTCTGTTTCTCTCTTTCAACTTTCGCAATCTCGACTCCATCTATGTCTTAGACGATCGTCAATTTTACACCTCCACGTGAAAACATAGTTCTATGCTATCTAAAATTTAGTGCACCAAAATGATATATCATTTTGAGTTCGTATTATTTCCTACTGTCTACTCAAAGTTAAGAACGTAAATTTACGTCACATCCCAGAGACCAAAACTTACCATTAATGGATAAATGTTTAGAAAAAACCAGTTCGACTAGGCTCAAAGCCAGGCCAGACACCCTTCCAATAGGGAGCCGCCACATATTTCCCTTTTAAGCCTGGCCCCACCAGCAGATATCAAATGTTTAATCTGTAATCATAATTCGGCCAAATTGCATATCATCAAGTTGGATTTCCCATGAAATAGGTTGCAGTAGGGTCAACCTTTGCATAATCAAATCAATAATGCAATTTGGCTTAATATTAAAATATTCTTATCCTACGGCGCTGAGAATCAAATGATTATTTTATAAAATACTCAAGAATATAGAATAAAGATGCTTGTGTCATTTTCATGTTAGAAAAAGCAAAACAAAACCTTATATAATTGTTTGAGTGGGTGCTTGGGACCTCAAGTTTTAATCAAGAATCCAAAAATAGATTAGCTTAAAACTTCAAATATCTGTCCTTCTGATTTCGACTTGACGCCGAGTTAAATCTAATTCATCGACCGTATATTTGATGTCTAGTTATCCTTCCCAACTTCGTCTTTTAAAAGAAAAATTGGATTGCAAATGAAAAACCTAAAAAGTCAGTACCTTGGTTCCATGTCAGATGTAGATTGTACTATATAGGAATTTTCTCAAGTAATAATGGTTCTTTAGAAATTACATCTCTAATAAAGTGTAACTTAACATCAACATGTTTAGTTCTTTCATAAAAACAAGATTTTTACACAAGTGTATTGCAATCTGGCCATCAGAATATACAACTACAGGTTCTTTATGTTCATTTATTTCAGTCAATAGATCTTTAAGTCATAAAGCTTCCTTTATAGCTTCAATAGTAGCCACATATTCAGCCCCAAATGTCGATAGAGCAACAATTTGTTTGAAGTTGTGATTTCCAACTGATACATGTATCGCATAAAGTAAACATGGATGCAGTTGTGGATTTCCTATTATCCCTACCCCCCACAAAATTAGCATTTACATATCTCTTAAGTACAACACGTTCATTGTAGGCTTCAAAACATAGTCCCAATTGATCCCCTCAAGTACCTCAAAAGCCATTTTTTTAAGCAGTCCAATGTTTAGAGTTAGAATTGGCCATAAACTTGCTTAGGGTACTAATAGCATAAGCTACATCAGGCCTAGTACATATTTTAGTGTACATAATGGATCCTAGAGCATTTGCATAAGGCACTTTTCCATATATTTAATGTCAAATTCATCTACAAGGCATTATTTTTTACTTAATATGAAATGACTGGCTAATGGTAAGGTAATATATTTGGATTCATGCATAGCAAATTTTGACAACACCTTTTCGACATAAGACGTTTGTTTCAAAAACAGTAATCTTTTTGACCCGTTTCTTATAATATCCATACCTAAGACTCTTTTAGTATGACTTAAATCTTTCATTTCAAATTCAGAACATAAAGATCTTTTGATCTCATGAATGCATTTAATGTCATATCCAATGAGTAACATATTATCCACATATGGCAACAGGTAAACAATCACAACATTTTCATTATTTCTTTTAAACTCTAGACAGTGGTCAAATGAGCTTGTAATAAAGCACATAGAAGAAACAAAAGTGTCAAACTATTTCTATCATTGTCCAGGAGATTGTTTTGAATAATATAAAGATTTTTTTAATAGATAGACGTGATTAGGTTTAAATTTATCTATAGAATCCTATGGTTGCATCATATAGATAGTCTCATCTAAGTCCCCATGCAAAAAAGTTGTTTTAACATCCATCTATTCTAGTTCAATGTCATAATGAGCAAGAAGGACCAACATCACTTTAATTGTAGTGTACTTAATAACAAGCGAAAAAATTTCATTATAGTCTACCCCTTGTTTCTATGTAAACTCCTTAGCAACTAGGCTAGTTTTAATCTAAGTGTTTGTTTCTCTAAACTACCTTCTTTCACATTATAAATCCACTTGCAATCAACAATAGATTTATCTTTAGGCTTAGGAACTAGTTTTCAAGTTTGATACTTACTCAAAGAATTCATCTTATCTAACATAGCAGTCTTCCATTTTCTAAACAGCTGGCTACTTATAGCTTCATCATAAGACTTGAGCTCCTTAAGAGCTAAGTCTTAATAGGACAAAACAGCAAGGGAAAGATAATCCTGATGCCTAGGTGGTTTCCTAATTTCTCTCTGACTCTATCCCTTGTAAGCTGATAATCTTCTAGAGCTTCAAGTTGTTTCTTTCTCATCATCTTGAACACTACCTCCTGCATCTTCTTATACAGGATTATAGTCTTCACCAGACACATCTTCCACCTGGATTTGATGATTAGGTTCAGTAGAGGGATCAAGCTCTACCTAAAGCTTAGTCCCACTTTCAGAATTGCTTTATGGTTCCTTATTATTAAGATAGGGCATGTCATACTCATTAAAAGTAACATCCCTACTAGTGATGATCTTAAAACCCTTTAGAATATTTAGCCACAATCTATATCATTTAACCACATCAGGATATTTCAGAAACATACACTTTTGACCACTAGGTTCAAGCTTACCAATGCTTTGGTGAGGATAGGCTGCACGGCCAAAAACGTTCATAAGTCGTAAACTGGTATATTTTTAGACCTCACTTCTTCAAATGCTTTACCATCTAGTGCACTAGACGGTGTTCTATTAACAAGATAGGAAAAGTTGTCATCCCCATAATACTTTGGGAACATCAAAACCAACCATCATACATTTGACCTTGTCTAAAAGAGTCCTATTCATCCTCTTAGCAACACTATATTACTGAGGAGGTATAGGGCATAGTCTTGTGTCTTTGAATTCCATTTTATTTGCAAAACTGAAAATTCTAAGCCATTATCAATTCTAAGGATCTTAACTTTCGTAGAGATTTGGTCTTCTATCAAAAATTTCCATGATTTGAACTTCTCAAAGATCATAGATTTTTGCTTAAGCAAGTAAATCCAGTCTTTTCTGAAATAATCATTAATTAGGGACAAGAAGTATCTATTTCCTCCTTGAATAATGGTGGATGAAGGGGCCTAGAGGTCAGAATAAATTTATTCAAGGGTAGAAGTAGATTTTTGCTTTCCAGTATTAATGTGTAGCCGATGTTGTTTTCCTAAGGTGCAATCCTCACGAAATGAAATTTTGGACACGTGGTCTTTTGCAAAGACCCTCTTCTTGTAGAGAATCTGAAGGCCCTTTTCACTCACATGGGCAAGTCTTCTATGCCATTTTATGGTAGAATAATATTCAGCACTAGAAGCTTCAGCAACTTGATGAAAGATTGCGTCAGCTTTAGTGACTTGTATCATAGCCTTGAAAATGACAAGTGATCGCTTTACCACCTTTAATAAAACATTTCCAAGTCTATCTTGTAGGCCAATATCATCCAGATTCTCCATGGAAATAAGGTTCCTTTTTAGATCAGGTACATATCTAACTCATTCAAGAGTATAGATATATTCATTCTCAAATTTTAAGGTTACATCTCAAATTCCTTCAACTTTACAGGCTACATTTTTTCCCATAACCACTTTACTCCATTCAGGACTTTAAAATTTTCTAACCAATGTTTCCTAGATGTCATATGAAAGGTGCAACCTAAATCCAAGATCCACTCTTGGTCCCGATCACTGTGATTTACAACATTTGCAGTATTCAGATTAGTACAAGACTCAATAACCACATATACATCCATAGTGTTTGATTCTAAAGGCTCTACTACATTTCCTTCATCAACCTCTTTGATCTTACTCTTCTTTTTATAACACCAACTTGTTTTTCCACACCCGTAACATTTCTTATTTCTAGTCCTTGACTTTGAACTGCCCTCCCTTTATTATCCCCCTTATCACTATTCCCTTGACTACTTTGACCTTCTTGATTCTGAGTCTGTCTATTTTTGAGATCTACCTCTCGCAAAAAGGCTCTCAGACATACTCTCATGTTTCTTTATTCTTAGTTATAATTCATTACTCCTTAAGGAATTAATGACAATATCAGGGGGTAAAAGTCCTCTGCCATATTTTATGGTAGGTTTAGCATATCCTTGTAGGTGTCAGGAATGGCATTTAGGAGTACTATAGCCTTATATTCCTCAGATACCTTATCCCCTGTTTTAGTAGTGTCCTGAACTAACTTGTTAAAAATATCTAGGTTATCATCTAACTCCTTGGAGGAATCAATCTTAAAACTAAAAATTCTTTCAATGAGAAACAACTTATTTGACAGTGACTTAACTAGATAAAGTTCTTCTAGCTTATCCCATAGTTCCTTATTAGTATCAAGTTACGTTCCTTAAAACTTGATCAGACAAATGTAAGATGATCGAAGCATAAGCTAATTCATCAGCTTCTTTTTCCTGATCAGCTATCATGGCTTCAAGAAATTCTACAGTGATTGCTTTAGAAACCTTTTGCTGAACTAAAATACCTCTCATCTTTTGTAGCCAAATGGAAAAATTCCTTTTCTTTTTATTAAAGATACCAAGTTCAAAAGTGGTTGATGTCATTGTACCTCACAATTCCTCCTCATCCTCCGTCTTTTTTTTTAGAAAGAGAATGTTTAGGATTTTTAAAAAATAATGAAGGATAGTGGATGGTGAATCAATCAAAGGGTTCTTAAGTCAGAGAAAAACTTTAAGGGAAAATCAGGTTAAAAGATCACAGCAGAAACACAAAGTAATAGGAAATGTGATTAATCACAAGACGAGTGTAACAACTTTTACATTATTATATGAAGCTAAGAAAAATCACATGCATCAATAGAGAGAGAGAGAGAGAGAGAGAGAGAGAGCAATATACAATATATATTAACCAATTAGAACCAATCTAATACCCAAGTTCACCAAGATTCCGTAAGAATCAAATTCTCAGGTTAAGGCTCAACTCGTGTACAGATATGATAATAATACAAGGACTAGGAGTACACAAGAAGAAGGGACAAAATATCAAATACTAAATTGAAAACAATTTTGAGCAAAAAAGAACTCAAGAAATGTTAAGTTTGAAACAAGAGATATAAAGTTAGGGTTAGGAGAAATACAGACCAGAGTGGTAGTCTTAATATATGACCACCAAAATTTGTAACCTTACCAGAGATCACAAATGAAATGAGTATCATGTAGGTTTAGCTTTTAACTCTTAAGACTCAGTTCTAGGGTTTTACTCTTAGAAACAACATAGGAATTATGGTTTCTTTATAGATCATGTTACCAACACCAAAATCTATTTAAGAACTACCAGATCTAGTAATATTGACCTAGGGTTTTGCCAACTTTCAAATCCAACCAAGTTTATCACTTGAAAATTGATATTCCAATGACATAAACTTGATCGAAGCACCTTTAGCTACCAACGCAGGCTCTAAAGCCACTTTTAAATTTAATACAAAACTCAATCGTCAAAACACAGATATGAATATTACAATAATTTTTCCTCTAATCTAAACCAACCGGCATCAAGGATTTTGACAATCTTAGGTTCAATCAATTGTACTCGTCTATATCATCACAGAGGCACTGAACAATCCCCAAGCCCTCACAAATCTATAAAAGAATGGAGTTGCTTCAATGGACCAGAAGAAC